TATATATATATACTATAGACCAATCTGGAATTAAGAGGTAAGGTAGGTCAGGAGATACATACTAGAGAATCATTATTCTGTATATGGTAAAATCTGAGTGAAAGATGACCATATTTATTATCCAAACCAGTATATATCTCTTTTTAACTTTCTACTTTGACAATTTCAGTCTTACAAGAAAGTTTCAAGTATAACAGGATTTGCATGTCTCACTTGGATTCCCCAAATGTTCACATTTTACTACAAATGGTGTTATCCTTTTCTAGGTCTCTATATATGAACATTTTTCTTCATTTCTTTACTGTTTGAAACCAAGCTGCGGACATGATAGCCTTATACGCCTAAATACTTCAGTGTTTTTTTATTTCTACAAAAAGGTCAGTCTCTTACATCAGTGGGTCTCAAAGTATGATTTCAGGGCCAGCAGCAAATACATCACTTAGAAACCTGAATTATAAGACCCCATCCCATATCAACTAATTTTGATAATTTTGCTGTGGTTATGTGAGGAAATTAACATAACTTTCAAAATTACTATCCAATTTATAGGCATTACTTAGATTTTGCCAATTGCCCCAATAATGTTGTTGATAGCAAAAGTAGCAAATGGGACACTTGAGATTCGAAGGATCTACTATCAGTAATTTTTATTGGTAGTGGACAAAGCAATACAAACTGGTAAAGTATAATCACATAAGTAGTCCTGGAGCTATAGTTAATTTTTCTTAATAACGATATGTAGAAATTAAATATTAGCTAGAGAAGAAGGCTAAGAACGGAACCCATTGAGAAGTCTGGAACTGGAGGGTTACTGTGAAGGAGAAATAGCATCCAGAGAGGTAAGAGAAGACTAGGAGAGTGAAATCTATACCTGAAAAGAGGAAATGGTCATCAGTAGCAAATGATACCAAGAGGTCTAGTATGATGAGAATTGTAAATGCCAACAGAATTTTGTAAGTGGGACTTCCTTAGTGACATTGCAAGAGGGAAATGGGTTAAAAAAAATATGAGAGGGTGGACACAGAATAAATAAAACTTTTAGAAGGCAGCAAAGATTTGAAGGGGTATGTCAAATTAAGAAAGGCATTGTTCCTTTAAGGTGGGGCATCTTACATTATGTTGATTACTTCTGGGAAAAAGTCTTTGTAGAAGAGTCCTGGGAGGATTACAAACTACTGATGCCTGGGTCCCAACCTGGGAGTCTGATTTAATTGATCTGGAGTGAGGCCAGATTCAAGAGGATTTTTCAAAAGTTCCTCAAGTGATTTTTAACATGTTGTGCGAACCACTGCTAGAGGGAGAAAAAAACTGACGCAAGGAGGGCTTACTTACTGGAGCCAAGACTTTCTGTGGCTGAGAAATTACGTGGTACAGTGTCTCATACAGCAAACATGCTTGGATTATCAAATCTTTTCAGTTACAGTACCTAATTTTTCCTACAAGTGCCCATAAAGCAAGGGAAGAAGGGCGTATACAGTAACTCCACTCCCCAAGACACACTAAAGGAAGAAAGAAAAATGACCTTGATGTGGCTCCCTAGGGTCCCCGAACAGGAACCTCCCTTCCGCCGGGTCTAGTCGGGCGGTTCTTGCAGGCTCCCGCGCGCTCGCTGCACCCCACAGCTCAGGTCGCCAGTGCGCACGCGCCGGACCTGCTCGGGAGCCCGAGCAGCGGTCCCCGCGCAGGCTTGGCCGCGCACTCCCGCCCTCTGCCCGCTGCCCCGGCTCCTCCCTCCTCCGGAGCTTCTCCCTGGGGCGGCCGCGCGGGAGGGAGGCCGAGATGGCTGATGAGATCTCCAAGGCTCAGGCCGCCCGGCCTGGTGGCGACACGATCTTCGGAAAGATCATTCGCAAGGAAATCCCAGCCAAAATCATTTTTGAGGATGACCAGGTAGAGACCGGGCGTCACCTCGCTGGCGGGCAGAGGCAGGCCAGTCGCCCGTGGACACGCGGGTTTCCTGTCGAGGGAAGGGTCGGGCGGCGCCGCGAAGGGAAGGGACCCGGTCGCCCCGCGCGGCCTCTGCCGCGGGCCCCCAGCCAGCGGGCAGGGCCGCGGCCACTCCGAGGCGGCCTGCCGGCGCGTGCCGGCGCTCCGGTTACGCGTTATCAGCCCGGGGCGCGGGTCAGGCTGCCCGGCGCCCGCGGGGCCCGCACCGTGAGGTCTGGGCGCGTGTTGGGGACGCGCTGGCTCCTCGGCGTGGGCTCCCGCCGGCTCCGCGGCTGCCTCAGACCTCGCCGGTGTCAGGAATCTTAACAATCTCGCCAGCGCTCTGCCTGACAGGGAGAAATCCGATCGCGCCCTGACTCGGGCCCAATCTCCGCGATCTCCCGCGCACAGCGGGTCCGCCTGGGCTTCCCGGCTGCCTCTCAGCGCCGCGTTGCTCAGACAGCCTGGGGCCGGTGGCACCGGGGTGGCCGGGGGCGTGCGGGGGTCGAAGGTCAGCTTCCGCGAGGGCCAGCCAGTCAGCCCCACCCCCACCCCTGAGATGAGTGGGTTCTGGGATTTGCTTTCCTTTGACCCCGCGCGGTAGCAATGGTTCCTTTCTTGTTTGACAGGAAGCAGTTTTTCTGCCAAGGGACTGAGCATGTAGTTTTTGTTGATTTCACCGTAGGTGAAATTCTGTTTGAGAAAGTCCGAGTTGATGTGACATCTTGTATAAAATATTTAGTAAGCAGTTGTATTTATGAGTTTGGATCTGAGACAAAGCTGGGCAGGAGGTTGGATGATTTAGACAAATACTTTTGTAACTTTCTGTTAAATTAAAGAAATATAGAATATAAGGGAAACATTCTTCTGATGCTCCTATGGCATTCTTAGATTCAAAATGTTATCCAAGATTTAATTAGATTCCTTTAGGTGATTTTATTTGGATACCTTTATTTGTCACTAGGAAGAAAGTTATTTTGTTCTAAAAAGTGCGTCTTTTTAAATATTTTCACTTGCTTTTTATAAATTATTGAAATATTGACTTTTGAACCACCTACGCCCCAAGAAGTATAACTGCATGAAGCAGTCTAAATGATACAGCATTTTGTGTGGAGTACTAAACAGAAATACTCCTGAGACACTTGAGTAGGGTTAGGTTCTATTAAGTAGCTTCCGCCTTCATTAGAGAACAAGAGATACAAAAATATTCATGTGGTATGTAATTTGTCTAAATGCTAACTATTCTCCTTGTGTCAATGAAAGAATAGAATATTACTTAAATAGTTGAGTAAGGGGGGAAGAAATAGGTCTTAGTCAAATATCAGACAAATACATGATTACAAAGCTGATCACTGCAGTAAAGGAAAAAAAAAAAACAGGGAATTGCACAATCAGGGCTTCTAACCTAGGGACGTTGGGGAGGGGAATCAGATTTCTTTCAGAAATTTTATATATGCTGGGAGCTGAGAAATGAATAGCAGATTAAGTTAGAAGTTGGGGTTGGAGAGGGGAGAGAGGACCATTGCAGTAGGGAATGGTCTTTGAAAAAGCCTGGGAGGGTAGAGAGAGATGGAAGACAATATGATTTCAGCAGGAAGAGTTTGCAGTTTCTACTGGAAAGGTAGACAAGGATTAGCATGCCTAATTTCTACTTAACTTTTGGAATTTCCCTAACTCATAGAGCCTGGGGTAGCTCAGTTGGTTGAGTGACTTCAGCTCAGGTCATGATCTCACGGCTCCTGGGTTCCAGTCCTGCTGAGCTGTCAGCACAGAGCCTGGAGCCTCCTTGGGATTCTGTGTCTTCCTCTGTCTCTGTCCTTCCCCCACTCAGGCTCTGTCGGTCTGTCTGTCTCTCTCTTGCTCTCAAAAATAAATACACATACATACATACATACATACATTTCCCCACCTCAGCATGGTTGTCTGTAATCACCCAGTCAAAATCAGGTTCTTCTATGTTAATCATGTATTTCACCCTTTTCCTTTGTAACAAATAGGTAGATTTCTAACTTAATTAATTATACCCGTTTTTAAGGCCAGCCTTCCCATTAGGCTGTAAGTTCCATGAAAAGGGACCATGTGATCACATGTATTGTGTACACTTCTTATTTCTGAGCATCTAATACGGTGCCTCCCATGGGATTAGTGTGAAAGAATAAATGTAGCCTATAAGATGATATACTAAAACTGATTTTTTCCCCCTTATCTCTAGTGTCTTGCTTTCCATGACATTTCTCCTCAAGCACCAACACATTTTCTGGTGATACCCAAGAAACATATATCCCAGATTTCTGTAGCAGAAGATGATGATGAAAGTGTAAGTAAATTTACCAACACAGTTTATTCTCTTGCCTTTTTTTTAAAATTTGGGAGACTAAATTTTGACCTGAAAGTGATGTCACATTTTCGTTTTCCTAAACAGTACTGAGGGAACAAACCAGATAATCACTAGGGAAGTGCAATGTATAAATAATTTGAGGGTTTTTTTTTTTAAATAGATATGACACATAATGTTTTGTTAATTTTAGGTGTACAACATAATGTTTATATATATGTATATTATGAAATGACCACAGGAACTCAAGTTAATATCTATCACCACAATATTCTTAAACAAAATGGTTCCTAACGAGGAATAGTTGGTGAGACTTATTTTTCCTTAATAAAGAAACAGTACGTCATATAGGGGAAATTCAGTGAGTCTTCTTCTATTAATGCTATTAAAGGAAAGAAAAATCATTATTTCATTTTGCCAGACATACAGGCCTCAGTTAAATATTCTCCTAATGCTCCTTGTGATCGATTGTATAATTGTTTATAAGTACTGGCTGTTCTCCTTCACGGGTGCTTTAAAACTTCTGCCTCATTGATACCAGGCCTGGTCATATGACTTGATTTGGCCAGCAAATGCAAGCAGAAGTGGTAGGTCTTGCATCGAAACTGTAAGAGCTAGTACCTGGTTTGTCATGTTCTCTCTTCCCTTTCCTCCTATGATCACACAGAAACTACTCCTTCAGCCTGGGTTTCAATGTGAAAAAAGATGTATTATTTAGAGCCTAGTCTACTTGTGATGAACATGTAGTGAGCACAGGAAATGTATCTTTGTTATAAACCAGTATTTGGGGTGGTTGTTACCATAGCTTAACCATACTTATCCCAATTGATACACTCTCCTATTACAAGAAAGCAGGATATATCTTGCTTTATTAAGAACATTTAAATACCTCTTGGAATATGATTTTACCATTGTTTTAATTGAGATTTACCTCTGATTTGTTTATTGGAATTAGTAATGCATAAATACCTAATCTTAATGGGTTTTTAATTGTAAATTAGGTTGTATTAGTACTAAGAGTTACCAAATAATTTGTCCAGACAGGTATGTTTCAACTTGGTGGTCTTTTAATATTTAAACTTGGTAGTATGTTATTTAATGGCAAAAACTTGTAAATTGCCTATACTTAAGAAACTTTTTTTTTCTTTTCCAGCTTCTTGGACATTTAATGATTGTTGGCAAGAAATGTGCTGCTGATCTGGGCCTGAAGAAGGGTTATCGAATGGTGGTGAATGAAGGTTCAGATGGGGGACAGTCTGTCTATCACGTTCATCTCCATGTTCTTGGAGGTCGGCAGATGAATTGGCCTCCTGGTTAAACATGTTTTAGGGATAATTTTCCCTTCTCTAGGCAATGATCAATATTTGCAAGTTCCAATATGTTAAATAGTATACATATTTTTGCCTGTGTATGGAGAGATTGAGGGAATAATTTTAAAAGCCTATAAATAATAAAAGATAATGTTGCATGGTTTACAATCTCTCTGAAACCTGTGTTTGCTTTATTAAAAAAAAAATGTTGGAATGTATGAAGGTAGAATTCATAATTTGGGTATTCTTTTTTCTCCCTAATGTATACTAAACATATGTACATTGTTAAAATGGTATGACTGGTTTCTGAAGACAAATACAAGATTTCACAAATTGAGTTTTAGCTTTGCAATACCCTTGTAGGGTAAAATATTAGTCCAGGTGGAGATTTTCTAATCTAATTCTCTCAGTACTTAAGAACAAAAGAGTATCTGATGTGATTGATCCAGAAAGTGAATGATTTGGGTCTAAGAGCAATGGTTTTTGTCAAGCCCATGTTCCCCCTGGACTCTTGGGGTAATTTGGAAGGAATAAAAGTAGATTTGTCACAGAATCTTTGATGACCATATGAAGCCATATGTTGTTATTTCTTTCATTATCTAAACTCTCTGAATATTTACTATAATTATATTACTTAGAATTAACTTTCCACATTGAAAACTTATAAAAATATTTTAAGTTGTGCAAGAATCTGGCTGTGTGGAATTAAGGAAGGAATCTCAAGGTCTGAGTTCTCCTTATCAGAACATACTTTTTTAGTCTTGCCTTTCTGCCTTCCACAGACTAGTAGTTGTCTAGCAACCAATTTCTGTAAATAATAGTGGGTGTAACTTTTTTTCCAAGTTAAATCTCCTTTCTTGCTTCATTCATATATGGTACTTTATTGTATTGATTATAATTTTTTTCTGTTCACATTTTGACTTACAAAATAAGAAGTAATTAAATTTTAAAAAGCCCTTTTCTTATGGCATGGGTTTTAATTAAAAAGAAAAGAAAGTAGTTAAGTCTTTTTCAAACATGTACTACAAGTGTGCCAAGAGTTGATTTAAACTCTGCATATCAGTCCTTTCATAAGTCTGGAAAGCAAACTGTTTGAGAGCACCAGCTGATGATAGTAATTGCTTCTTGTAATGCTTTGTGTGATATACAGGATCATTTAATAAAGAGATTTTTGCCTCTACTGTCATAACTTGGAGATATTGCAGGTTCTGTTCCAGACCACTGCAATAAAGCAAATATCACAAAAGTTACTAAAATTCAATGAATTTTTTGGTTTCCCAGTGCACATAAAAATTACATTTATACTATACTGTAATCCAAATATGTGATAGCATCATGTAAAAAAAAAAAAACAGTGTATAAGTGTATATACTTTAAAAAATACTTAATTCCTATAAAATGCTTACCATCATCTGAGTTTCCAGTGAGACAATCTTTATTGATAGAGGGTCTTGCCTTGATGTTGATGGTTGCTGACTAGTAAGGTTGGGGTTGCTGTGGCAATTTCTTTAAAAAGGCAGTGAAATTTGATGCACTGATGGACTCTTCCTTTCATGAATGATTTCTCTGTAGCATACAATACTGTTTGATAGCACTTGACCCACAGTCGAACATCTTTCAAAATTGGATTTTTCTCAAACCCTGCCACTGTTTGATCAACTAAGTAAGATTCTAAATCCTTTGTTGTCACTTCAACAATCTTCACAGCATCTTCATTAGGCACAGATTTTATTCACAAGAAAGCACATTGCTCACCCTTAAGAAGCAACTCCTTATAGCAATTTAGTCACATCTCAGGCTCCACTTCTAATTCTAGCTGTCTTGTTCTTTCCATAACATCTGCAGTTACTTATTCCACTAAAGTCTTAAACCTCTCATAGTCATCAATGAGGGCTAGAATCAACTTCCAAACTTATATTCATATTGCTATTTTGACCTCTTCCATGAATAGCAAAGGTTCTTAATGGTATCTGGGATGATTAATCCTTTTTAGGAAGTTTCCAATTTACTTTGCCGAGATCCATCAGAGGAATCTATTCTATGGCAGCTACAGCCTTAGGAAATGTAGTTTTTAAAGGGTAAGTCTTGAAAGTCAAAATTACTCCTTAATCCATGGACTGCAGAATGGATGTTGTCTTAGGCATGAAAACAACATTAATCTCATTCTACCTCTCCATCAGGGCTGATGACCAGGGTGACCAGCTACATTGTCAACGAGCAGTAATATTTTTAAAGGCCTTTTGTTGTTTTTTTCCTTAGCACTAGGTCTCAATGGAGGGCTTAAAATATTCAGTAAATACTGCAAACATGTAAACAGATGTGCTGTCATCCAGACTTTGTCCAATTTATAAAGCAAAGGCAGAGTAGATTTAGGATAATTTTTAAGGGGCCTAGCAGTTTCAAAATGGTTAATGAGCAATGACTTCAAATTCATGTTTCCAGCTGCATGAGCCCCTAACAAGAGAGTCAGCCTGTCCTTTGAGGCTTTGAAGGTAGGCACTGACCTCTCTAGCTATGAAAGTATTAGCATCTTTTTCCAAGAGAAGGCTTTTTGGTCTACACTGAAAATCTGTTGTTTGGTATGGTCACCTTAATTAATTCTCTTCACTAGACCTGAAAAATTTGTTCAGCACTTGCTGCTTCTTCCTCTTGCAATTTTATGTTATGGAGATGGCTTCTTTCTGTAATTCTCATGAACAAACCTTTGCTAGCTTTAAATTTCTGGATCCTTCTTTCCTCTCTCAGCCTTCGAAGAACTGAAGAGAATTAGGGCTTTTCTCTGGATTAGGCTTTGGTTTAAGGCAATGTTGTGGCTGGTTTGATCTGTCCAGACTATTAAAACTTTTCTCCATATCAGTGATAAGGCTATTTGCTTTCTTATTCACGTAGTCACTAGAGTAGCACTTTTAATTTCCTTCAAGAACTTTTCCTTTGCATTTGCAACTTGGCTAACTGGTACAAGAGGCCAACTTGTTCTGTCTTTTGACATGCCTTCCTCGCTAAGCTTAATCATTTCTGTCTTCTAATTTAAAGCCAGAGACATGTAACTCTTTTCAATTGAACACTTGGAGGCCACTGTAGGGTTATTAAGTGGCATAATTTCAGCATTGTGTCTTAGGGAATAGGGAGGCCCAAAGACAGGGAGAGATGGGGAAGGGCTAGTTGATGGAGCAGTGAGAACACACAACATTTATCGATTAAATTCGCTGTCCTACATGGCTGTGGTTTGTAGCACATCAAAATAATTACGATCACAGATCACCATAACAAATATAATTGTAATGAAAAAGTTGAAAATATTCCAAGAATTACCAAAATGTGCCAAAGATATGAAGTGAGAAAATGCAATTGGAAAAATGGCACTAATAGACTTGCTTAACATAGGATTGTCACAAAGCTTCAATTTATAAAAAATGCAGTATCTGCATAACGCAGTATCTGTGAAGTGTAATAAAATAAGGTATGCCCCTAATAGCTCATTAAGTTTTCTTCCTAAGTATATTTATTACCATTCTATCCAGTTCCATAAACTTCTCAGGAATAGTTACATGCATTTGTTTATTTAGAGTAACTTTTTTTTTTTTTAGATTTTTAAAAATGTTTATTTTTGAGAGAGAGAAAGCACAAGCTAGAGAGGGTCAGAGAGAGAGAGAGGGAGACACAGAATCCAAAGCAGGCCCCAGGCGCCAAGCTGTCAGCACAGAGCCCAATGTGGGGCTTAAACTCACAAACCATGAGATCATGACCTGAGTCAAAGTTGGATGCTCAACTGACTGAGCCACCCAGATGACCCTAGAGTAACTTCTGATGTTTCTATAGCTGGTTTCCTTGTTTCAAACTGAAGATTAGGCACTTTTTCTTAGAAATGCCCTTGGTTTAGGGGTGCTTGGGTGGCTCAGTCCGTTAAGCATCTGACTTCGGCTCAGGTCATGATCTTGAGGTTCGTGAGATCGAGCCCTGCGTCGGGCTCTGTGCTGACAGCTCAGAGCCTGGAGCCTGCTTCAGATTCTGTGTCTCCCTCGCTCTCTGCCCCTCCCCTACTCATGCTCTGTCTCTCTCTCTCTCTCTCTGTCAAAAATAAACGTTAAAAAATTTTTTTTAATAAAAAAAAAGAAATGCCATTGGTTTAACATGGATTCACTGTACTTTGTTTGAAAATGACCTGATAGTGATGGAACTGACAAAGAGTGATCAGATTTTCAGCATGTTTTTGAAGTTAAATCTGGAAGGATTTGCTAATGGGTAAAAATGGGGGTAAGAGAAAGGATGAAGGATTTATTATTTCTCAAGAGTCTGTGGACTGACTGGGTGGTTTTTCTCCTGCTTTGGACAGAGTTAGTTGTGTCGCTGTGTTCTCTTGAAGGTTGGAAGGTCCAAGATGACCCCACTCAGATGTCTCATGTTGGTAATGGAAACTAACTGTGGTCCTTTGATTCTCCTTTGTATGGCCCCTTATTCTCTTGTAGCTTAGACTAGCTTACATGATGGTCACATGGTGATAAACACCCCAAACCCAGTGTAAAATAATTATTATTTCTCATCGTTTTGTGTGTTGGTTGGGTGGTTCTGCTTATCTCACCTGGGCTCACTCATGTAGGTTGGATAGAATGGATTCTGAGAATTGGGATGGCTTGGCCTCTTTCCATGTCTTTCACCCACAATATTCTACACAGCTTAATGTTCTCAGGGCAGCATTCAAGAGGGCAAAACCAATGCTGCAAGACACCTGAGGCATAGGCTTCATAACTCAAGTAACACCACTTGTACCACACCTTATTGGTCACAGCAAGTTAGAAGGCCAGCCTAGATTCAAGGGTTTGAAGACAGAATGAAGTATGCAAGAAGTATATCTCTTTTTTGTTTTCTATAACAACTTTTCTGTTTTGATTCTCTGATCCAGCATGGTAGGAAATTCTTCATTTTAGTCAGTTTAGAGTTTCCCCCGCCCATCCCCAGGTGTGTACCTAATTTATGGAGGGTCTTGTATAATGTCATCGTATCAGGTGCCATCTAGGCCTAGGTGTCATCGGTCTCTATAGACTGCTGGAGACTTTCATTATCTCACTTAATCCTTATTTACTGATCCCTGTAGGTTGACACTTTGTAATAATGATGACCAAGATTATAATAGTAATTATGACAGTTTTATGATAGTATTAATAGCC